GCGGCGACGGCCCGAGCGCCGCGCCAGCCGCCGCCGCAGCAGCGCCGCCGCCGGCAGCGGCAGCAGCGGCAGCAGCGGCGGCGGCGGCAGCGGCGGCACCTCCTCCCCCCTTGGACGACGCGTGTGCGGGCTCCGGCGCTGTCGGCGGCGGAGGAGGGTCTGGTTCGGGCGCCTTTGCGCGAAGTGCGTCGAAGCGCGCGGCGAGGGCATCTGCTATCTCCGCTGCTTCGGCGGGCTGCGGCTCGGCAGCCTGGGTTCGGGGGTGGGGGTGGGGTGGGGGTGGGGGGGGTGGGTGAGGGGGGGGGGATTGGGTGGGTGAGGGTGAGGGTGAGGGTGAGGGTGAGGGTGAGGGTGAGGGTGAGGGTGAGGGTGAGGGTGAGGGTTAGGGCCGGCAGCCTGCGCTGCTGCTGCTGCTGCGGCGGCGGCGGCGGCCTCGTCTGCAGCGCCCCACTCCCTGTAGAGACGGGCCTGCGCAGAAGGGGGGGGGGGGGTGAGGAGGGCACTGGCGTGTGAAGGAATGGCAGTCGGGTGTGCGGCCCAGCTCTGGTGTGTGGGGAAGGCCTTTGGGTCCTCGGCTCGATCTCGGCAAGATGCAATCTCTCCCCATATCTCCCCGTACCTCGAGGCCTAGATGCGGACTATCTCCCCGCATCTCCCCCTATCTCCCCTCACCTCCCCATATCTCCCCACATCTCCCCACATCTCCCCTCACCTCCCCATATCTCCCCGCATCTCCCCACATCTCCCCTCACCTCCCCATATCTCCCCGCATCTCCCCACATCTCCCCTCACCTCCCCATATCTCCCCGCATCTCCCCACATCTCCCCTCACCTCCCCATATCTCCCCGCATCTCCCCACATCTCCCCTCACCTCCCCATATCTCCCCGCATCTCCCTCATCTCTCCCCATCTCCCCATATCTCCCCCCCTATCTCCCCCATATCTCGCGCGCCTTGACGTCCTCGAGAGCGTCGACGACGGTGAACATCTGGCGCTGCAGCGCGCGGAACTCCGCCGTCTTCTTGTCTGGCTTGGAGGCCATGACCTTGGGGGAGGGGGAGGGGGGGGAGGGGGAGGGAGAAGGAGAAGGAGAAGGAGAAGGGTGAGGGTGAGGGTGAGGGTAAGGGTGAGGGTGAGGGTGAGGGAGAAGGGTGAGGGTGAGGGTGAGGAGGGGTGAGGAGGGGTGAGGAGGGGTGAGAAGGTGAAGGTGAGGAGGGAGGGAGGGGAGAGCGAGAGGGGGGGGGGGGGGGGGGGGGATTTTAGGGGAGGGGAAGGGTTGCCTAAAAGGGGGAGGGGACCACCGGGTGATCTGGGGCCCTGGGAGGGAGGTAGGGGAAAGGGAAAGAAAGGGAAGGGGAAAGGGGGAAAGAGGGGAAACCAGGCCCGGACCGGGAGGGGGAGAAAGGGACCGAAAGGTCCAAGAGACCAAAAAAAAGGAGGGGAAGGAGGGGGAAAAGGAGGGAGGGGAGGGAGGGATGGGGCCCCCCCCCCCCTGTCATAAAACTTGGGGGAGACGGAAACAGGAGGACGTACCCCTCTGCGTACTTTTTGCCGTTGAGGGCCTCGTACCCGGCGGAGCGCTGCACGCGGGGAGGCGGAAGGCGGCGAGCTGAGACCCAGCGCACGCCACTCCCGGCAGCAGTGGGCCACTTGCGGCTGGGAAGGCGATCCCTTGCCGCCGCTCTCGCGTTCCGGTGCGTGGCTGTGGCGCTGCTGCGCGCGAGCGGCTGCGGCGCGGCGATGGTCTCGCAGTGGACGGCACGCGCGCACCAGGCGGCGACCCGCCGAGGAGAGGAGAGGTGCGGTGCTATGCGTCGCTCTTCTCCGGCGTGCCTGCTTCTCGGCGGCGTCGTACAGGATGGAGAGGCTGTAGAAGCCGGGCTTCTTCTGGCCCCAGGTGCCCAGCTCGCCGCCCTTTCTTACCAGAATAGCCATCTTCTCCTTGGCCGTCTTCGCAACCATGACGGCTCGCTCACGAGCTCCGGCGGCTATCGTCCGGCGGGTATCGTTCGGCGGCTATCGCGTCTGGCCGAGGCTCTTGCCGTCGCCGAAAAAGAATTTAAACAACATAGTCTCTCACAGCAAGCGAGAGAGAGAGAGAGAGAGAGAGAGAGAGAGAGAGAGAGAGAGAGCAGGGGGTTCAACCAGGCGACGGAGGACCGTGGGCCATCGCGGGGACTGCTGCGTACGGAGGACGCGGCAGGCAGATCCGGATGGTCTCACCCGGTGGGAGGCACCGAGGCGTCTGGGACGCTCCACTCTACCTTAAGCTCCTGAGGGGCGCGTGGTTTTAACCACGTAGTACGACTACAGCCCACCACAGACACCCTCCCTCTCCACACGTGTGCACACACCCTCACCCTCTCCCCTCTCCTCTCTCTCTCTCTCCTCTCTCTCCTCTCCTTGTCTGTGCTGTCTGCCTGACTCAGGCACTAATTCTGCCGATGCGTGATTGTGTGTGGGCTGCTCCGAGGGGGCCCTGTGCGATCCGATGGGTAGGGAGTCTGTGCCCGGGCGGTGTCCGGTGCGGAGTCTCTCTCTGATCCCACCTGTGGTGTTGGGTGTGAGGTCGTGGAAGCTTCGATCCCAAGGGGGGGAGCCGAGCCCACTCATAACCAACTCTCAGGGGCAGTAGGTGGGCGAGCCTCGAGCGCGCTCATCTCGATCGTCAAGACGTTGCTACGCGCGGTCTTCCGCGGGGGGAGCTGCGTCGACGGGTGCGGGACCGCGGCGCAGCCAGTGCCGTGGCGATGCCTCCGGCTGTTTGCGGCGGGCGGCTTGCTGCTCGCTGCGATGGCGAAAAACTCGTCTCGCCACACGCCAAGGGCTTATGCTCTGGCGAGACGTGAGGCGCATGCGCCCAGGAGGGGAGGGGGCATGTGTAACGACACTGCTAGAGATGCCTTTCGGGGCCCAGAGATAAAACTTCTGTGATGCCATGCGTGACCTAGTAGTGTCCCCAGCTATGGGCGTGTCCACGTTGGAGCCAGGTGTGGTGTGGGCGCGAGAATAGCTCCGCCGTTCATGGAGGCAACCGATGCGAGTCGACTGGTGTGTGTCGTCGTGGTTTCGTATCAAGAATTCTCTCTCTCTCACAGCAAGCCTGCTCTAGTCTCACACGTTCGCCCCTGTCGCCTGTCTGTGTTGTTGTGCTGTTGTTTGTCTCTTGGCACCTTGGAGTGCTGGGGGGGGCGACAGGGGGGACGTGGCCTGAGTGATGTGTACGCCCACTCAGGATGTGTGGCAGCCCGCTGGCTGTGTGTCTTGTGAGCTTGTTTGTGTCTGTGTGTCGCTCGTGCGTGTCGTCATCATCTGTCTTGCGTCCACCCATACCGCGTTGGTGTCCAGTCCGAGCCTGACTGTTCTTCACCTTACTACATACAGCACACAGGCTCGACACAGGTGTGAACCGAAAAAGAATTCGTGCAGCACGTGTGGTGTGTGTATACTCACTCACTGCAACATACCTGTGCCTCGTCCTGTCCCCACACTGTACTACATCGATCCACAGAAGCATGCTATGCATTATCAGGGTGCCCCCGCCGCCGCCGTCAAGCGCCTCCACCTCTGTGTCCGCGACCCGCAGGCCCAGCGCTCCCAGGGCCAGGCAGGGCGATGCCGACACAGACAGTCTTCACCGCAAAACTTCCCGATCAACGTGCGGGGCAGCCGGCAGGCAGTCGCTGCCGCCTCCAGCGGGGGAGTCGACGGCTATGCGCCCCCCTAGCGCCTAGAGGGCGCTCGCGCTAACCAGAGCGGATTGCCGAGGTCGAGCGAGAGCCTCTAGGGTACGATACTTCCGGGCCGGTGTGCGGGGAGCGAACCTTAACGACCGCCCAGAAGCTTTCTGAGCGAACCAATCGGGCCAGGATCATCAGCATATGTCCCCTCCACAACATCGTGGGCGTT